TATATTTATTTGGGTTGGGGGCAGGGAAGAGAGTGAGGAGGAGAGACCCCCAAGCAGGCTTGCATCAGTGCAGAGCTCGACGTGGGGCTCAATCCCACAAACCGTGAGATCATGACCTGAGCCAAAATCAAGAGTTGGATGCTCAACTGACTGAGCCACCTCGGCACCCAAAGGAGTGCATTTAATTGCTGGCTTATCTCTAGTGTCTAGATACTAGCTCTTTAAACAGCTTCTTTCTTTAGGCTCCATTGACACCAAACACTCTTGGTTAAGACGAGCTATGTAATTTGTGGGGCCTAGTGCAAAATGAAAATGTAAAGTCCCTTGTTCAAAAGTCAGGGGGAAAATGCCACTAAATGTGGGAAAATAGGTGACAGTGTTGAACTAAATCAAGTATGGAGTCTTCCCACTGTGGGGCCCCTCTCCCTGAAGAAGCTGGCTCTGTTCTTGGTTTTCCTCCTGTGCCACTCACCACCCTTTTTCCATCTAGCCTTGATCTAGATAATAATCTAGAGACGGTCACATTCAGCAGCACAGTCACTCTGCACTTGGACATTTAATTAGGCGTGTCAAAGGGAATGGGACTTGAACGGAAGCCCTGTCCATACTCCCACCCACCCTGCTCCTTCCCTTCCCCCATCTCAGTAAATGTTACTCAGGCCCCAAATGTTCCCTCTCACCTCACACTCAAGGCAAAAGCAAATCCTTTCAGCTGTACCTAGAGCTAAAGCATGAACTTGACGGATTCCCAGGAACCCGCGACCGCCACCCAAGTGTGGGTCACCGTCTTCTCTTGCTTGCACCCCTGGAACAGCCTCCCAAATGCCCTCCCTCTTTCTTCCCTTGCTCTTCTCAGTCCATTTACTTTATGACAACCAAGCTATCTTTCTGACACAAAAAGGAGCCTGTGCTCACTTGCCTACGAGATTCCCCACGACCTGCCCCTCTGCCTCCTTCCTCAATACCAATGACTTTCCCCACTCACTGGATCCCAGCTCTGCCTGCTTCTTTCTGCCACTGTCACCACCGCGCCGTCCCACCTCAGGGCCTCTGTGCCACTGCTGTCTCCACACGGAAGGCTCTTCCTCCCACGTTGCGGTCTCCTGCGAGGTCATCCCCAGCGCTGCCCCCTGCAGGCCTCAGCTCCAAGGCCTCCTCCAGCACCCCTTCTCTGGGCTCTCAGGATGGGCCCCTCACCCCAGCACTCTCTATTTTATTTTATTTCAAATGCCAAAATGATCTTAGTATCATTTATATGTTTATTTCACACACTCACACCCCAATAATAATTACAAGTCTTGTTTCTAACGGAGTCTCAGCACCTAGGAGTCCCCTGGTAATAACTGCTCCACCTAAACAAGAGTGAACACACCTCACCACATTTATGAAGTCCTAATCATACTCCAATGTTCACTTTATTGTCTCTCTCTCGCTACAAATCTTTATTTCAGGTTGTTTGGGCGGCTAGTTACAAAGTGGGCTGTGCAGTACAGTATTGTCCCAGCGTTCATGGCACCAGTATTTCCCACGGCGCGCTTTTCATATGCAACTACGGACCAGGGTAAGTACCCAAATCGATTCTTCTAAGAAAAACTTCTTAAATCTTTTTTAGAAGTATTAATCTTCATTACAGAAAATTAGGATAATAAAGGGTAAAAAAGAAAATTAATATCCCCTTAATTCCTCTAACCCAGAGATCTACTCCATTAACATCTGGTACATTTAAAAAAAAATATATACATGTGTGTTTGTGTGTCTGTGTGCACCCCTTACAAATGCTATATAAATACACACGCAACATATATGTTTAGAGTGGCAACACTAAAATGTTTGCAGGGACATAGATTAATTGGAAATGGTAATAATACCACGGAATAGGAGGACTGATGTTACTCTATTGGTTTATTAAAAACTTGGCATGTTTTACAGAATTTTCAAAGCAAAAATAAATTGAGAATTAAATTTCTCAATTTATGTAATTTATTTCATTTACTTCTGAAAGTTTTGTTTTTGAAACGGATACAATTTTTCTCCCTTTGGAAAACAGAGTAGACCCATGATATGCCACCTACCACCTTTCTTTTCTTTTCTTTCTTTCTTTTTTTTTTTTCTTACCATTTATTCATTTTTGAGAGATAGAGACAAAGCATGAGTGGGGAAGGGGCAGAGAGAGGGGGACACAGAGTCCGAAGCAGGCTCCAGGCTCTGAGCTGTCAGCACAGAGCCCAACTCGGGCTGGAACTCTTGAACTGCCTGATCACGACCTGAGCCAAAGTCGGACACTCAACGCTCAACCGACTAAGCCACCCAGGCGCCCCTCCCCCCACCTTTCTTTAAACTTCTATATGTATGCTTATGCATCATACACATTATTTAGAAAATGGATATCATACTGGAAATGCACAGTTTCTACTTTTTACTTAAAATTATACCGTGAGCATTTTCCACATCATTAAAATTTTAAACGTGATATCAATAATTATAAAAATATGAGAGTACTGTTTCATGAAGATGATGCCAAAGGTGAAGAAGGAAGTCCCTGCCCCTCCCAAAGCCAAAGCAAAGGCTTTGAAGACCAAGAAAGTGGTGCTGAAAGACATTCACAGCACTTAAAAAAAGATCTACATGTCAGCTACCTTCCAATGGCCCAAGACACTGAGTCTCTGAATGCAGCCCAAGTATCTTTGAACGAGTGCTCCCGGGAGAAACAAGCTTGACCACTATGTCATCATCAAGTTCCCCTAACTACCGAGTCGACCATGAAGAAAGTAGAAGACAAAACACTTGTGTTCATTGTGGTGCCACCAAGCATCAGATCAGACAGGCTGTGAAGAAGCTCTATGACATTGACATGGCCAAGGTCAACATCCTGATCAGGCCCAATGGAGAGAAGGCATATATGTTTGACTGGCTCCTGACCAGGATGCTTTGGATGTTCCCAACAAAATTGCGATCGTGTAAACTGAATCCAGCTGGTTAAATATAAATTTTTTCACCATAAAAAAAAAATGAGAGTAATACTGATAAAATATTTACCATATGTTAAGCACTTTTCTAAGTGCTTCATACATATTAACTTAATCTTCATGAAAAGTCTTGAGATGGGTCCTGTTACCACCCCTGTTTGGCAGAGAAGAAAACTGAGGCGCTGACGGAGTGAGTAGTCTACCAGGGTTCCACAGTTGGTGACACTATGTCATAGTGTCTGTGGACTGGACATAGTGTCTATGTTACTGGACTGTGACCTGGGCTGTCTGGCTTCTGAGTCTGTGCTTTAGATGGTCACATGACAGCTCATCCTATTGAAGAAGTTAGATTGTTCTCTGCATTTTCTTTTAATATTAGATGAACAACCGTGAATGTAAGTCTTCAGTCACATCTATTTCCCTACAATTTCTAGAAATAGTATACTAAGTAAAAGGTTTGAACATCTTTATGTTTTTAAAAGTGCTTATGGCCAAATTATTCTACACTATTATTATATCAATTTATACTTCTTCATTAGTACTGGATATTATAATTTTTTAGTATTTTCTAATTTGAGAGAAACTGTTATTTTATGTTTCTTTTGCATCTCTTTGACCACTGGTGATTATAAATTTTCACCTGATTGCCTATTTACATTCCTTCTTTTGTGAACCATATGGTCTGCTCATTTTTCTACCAGCGTGATTTTCTTAATGATTTATGGTAGTTGTTTATATTTTAAAGCTTTAACTCTTTGCCATATATACACCAATCTTTTTCTTTAATTTGTTGCCCTAGAATTATGTTTGGATTTTACCAATCTTTGGGATTCCAGAAGATTTGTTAGAGGAAGCCTCTCTTTCTTTCCCTGAAGTAATGTTCTGAAGAAACGTTGGAGAGTCTGATTGAGTGTAGGTGGGGTAAAAGGATTAAAAGCAGGTGTCATTCAGAAGAGAATAGCTTTGACCTAAAATCCCTAACTCAGAAAACAAGGAAAACCTAGGAAAAACTAGCCAAAGCCATTAAATCAATCAATGGTGACTCTTCATGACATGTATATAGCTTAATGGTTACGATACAGGGTCTTGAGAACCCACCACCTTGGTTCACTTGACCTTGGACGAGTTACTTAACCTCTCTGAATCTGTTTCCTCTGTAAAAAATTGGGATAATAATAGCACCAGCTACTTATCAAGTAGCTATGAAAATTAAACAAGAAAGTTATGTAAAACACCAACTATATCTAATACCTGGCAATGGTATGACATTATTTGAGATTATTAGAGAAGTATTCATAGTTACTATTGTTGTTATAATAAAAAGGCACAAATGAAAATTCTCCTGGTTTAGCCTGACTTTATTTGCCTTTTAGTGTTATAAACAAGAAGTTGTAAAGCTTATAACCAGTTTTAATGCTTCTATAGAGTTAACATTCATTTATTCATACAAATAAGTGGATTCATACAATCATCCAACAAATATTTGTTTACTGAGATGCAAAGGAAAACCAGCCAGACACAGTCCCTGCTTTTATGGAATTTCTATTTCTATGGAATATCTATGGGGCAGATAGACAATAAACTGCATTATGATAGGAGTAATGAAGGAAATACAATATGATACTGTAATCAACACTATCAATTGGCAGGACCCTTGGCTGGATAAAATGATGTATTTAAGCACAGGCATGAAGATTAGAAAGGAACCAGACTCGTGAAGAACTTCAGGAACAGATGTCTGCTGCAGAAAACACCTGAAAAGCTTCTGTGGCAAGGATGCAAAAACAGGTCAGGGTGCTTGCATCACTGAATCAGATGAAACGGGGAAGGAGGCAGTTCAGCCTTTGCAAGGCAGTGTAGGCCATGGTAAAATTTAACTTTATTCACATCCCAAGAGGAATCATCCAAGTATTTTCAGCAAGGGAGTGACAAGACCTGCCTTACATTTGGAGATCACTCTGAATGACATGTGGGAAATGGATTGGAGGGCATAAGGGAGGAGCACAGAGACCAGTTAGGGATGTCCTCATTATCTTCTGCCTTCTCAGCTTGTTTTCCTCCTTCCATGTACAAAAAGTCACATAATTAGCCCACATAATTCTAGGAAGTCCAGTATCCTCTCCATACTTCTGAGATTTCCTAAGAGTGGGGTGCAGGGTGCTTAATTCTCCAGTCACCTGTAACTCAATCTCTGGAGTCATTCATTGCCCAGACCGGTTTTGGCCCCTCCTCCTAGCTGCTACGGGTCATTCTGATCTGCAGTTTTCACATACACATCTCTCTCTTCAAGCCCCTGGGGCCCTCTGAGCAAGGCTATCTTGTGATTAGTGGGAGGAAGGATTACAGCACAGAAGAGGAAATGACAACCTTGACTATCTAGTATCTACAGGGTACGAATATACCCTTTGAGAACCCTTACTCATATTTATCTTTTTCTTTAAAGATCTTCTCTCAGGGGGCCTGGCTGCTCAGTCAGTACAGCATGTGACCCAGGGTCCTGAGTTCGGGTCCCATGTTGGCCAAAGAGATTACTCAAAAAAAAAAAAAAAAGTCTTTTCCTCAGTCCCAGGGCCCCAACACTTTCTCCCTCAAGCTGCCAGGGGAAACACTAAAACTTCCTGCTTCTTTATGGACAGAATACATCAGGGCCCTTTGTGTCAGTTGTTCCTATCCAGACAAACCCAGACCTTTCTAGTAGCATGTTTCTCTCAGGATGAATTGTGCCATTTCCCTAGAATTCATAACTGCTTTTTGTTTTTAGCCAGTTTTTGAAGTAGTAATTTCTCCCTCTTTATAATTTTCACAATTCAACAAAGAATGAAATGGCATAAATGATTTTATTCTAGAACTTGCCCTCTCAAAGAGTATGGTGCTTTTGAACAATGAAAATATCCCCAGATTAATGTGCACTTTGGGCAATTATTATCAGAATCACTATATTCCTTTGACTGTTTCCCACAGTGTAAAGCAAGCATGAGGATAAACAGAGTTTCTAAAACAACCTAAATTAATTTGGAGCCAAATAAGATTAGAACACATATTTTGGGTTGGAAAGGAGGTGTTAATGAAAGTAATGTGTCCTTAACTTTGGTTCTTAACCAAAGTTTCTTAAAGGTGTTTCTAAAAAAAGTTTCTAAAGTATTAGGGGAGGGGAGTTGAGTCCATGAACTTGGATTAGAAAAGTTACATCTTTATTTTCACTAACCTCTACTGAAACTATTTTGGGGTGCCTGGGTGGCTCAGTCAGTTAAGTGTCCAACTTCAGCTTAGGTCATGATCTCACAGGTTGTGGGTTCAGGCCCTGCATCGGGCTCTGTGCTGACAGCTGTGAGCCTGGAGCCTGCTTCAAATTCTGTGTCTCCCTCTCTCCCTCCCCCTCCCCTGTTCATGCTGTCTCTCTGTCTCTCGCTCTCAAAAATAGAAAACAATAAACATTAAAAAAAACATTTCATTATGCATGAAGACAACACTTCAGTCGTATCAGCAGTGTGTGTGACTTTGTTAGTACTACTTCTATCTTTGTAAATATCAGATATTTTCATATCACATTCTACTCGCAGCAGATAACTCAAAATATGGTTTTAATGTTATTAAAGTTACTGATTATTAAACTTCTTGCTAGGTCTTATTTAATACTTAATAGGGAAGCACATATTGTTCTATCACAAACTATGGAGGCTTGCTAAACTGAGAAGAGCAAATGTGGGTCATGATACCTTAGGATGGACAGTGTTTTGGATGGTGGTGTATACAGGCCAGATAGTAAGTAGAGGGAGTGTTGCCCTAGAGTCAGACAAATCTAGGTTTTATTGTGACTCGGATATGTGTACGCTGTAATTTTTGTTAATTTCTTAGAGCTTTAGTTTCCTTACGTGTCAAATAAAGAAAACTTCCAGAACTGTCATAATAATTAAATGAAATGATGTAGGTGAAGACACAGGTTCACAGACATAGTCCCATGGAGGGAACTCTGCAAATATGAACAGGCTTCTATTTCCGCTTCCCTCACCAACCCTCTGAATCTGTGGACTTCCATCCTGCAGAAAAGATGAGTAGCAAATTTCATTGCAACAACAACAAAAACCCACCTCTCCTAATGGACAGCTTTTTTTCTACTTTATAGACAATACAGAAGTTGGCCATACAGAGAAGGGTCCACCTGCAGTGCCTGCCCCAATGATGACAAGTGTTTGGATAATCTCTGCAGTGAGTAAAAGGGAAACTCTACCAATAATACAATGTGTTTGAAACTATTAGAACTTTCTACAGAGCTAAGAATGCAAATGTTTGCTTTCTCCTAATAGCTGTTTTCATGGAAGCTGGCATCAGGCAGCAATCAAACCAATGGCTTACTGTCCTAGTAATGAACATATATTTAAGGTAAACTTAGGGAAGCAAAGAATAGCCTTCTTCTGTAGCTCTAATCATTACCACAAAAAGTGACTAAGAAGATAGGAGCTGTAGACCCAAGGTTTGCTGAATTCCAGCAAGATCAAAACAACTGATTTATAAACACTGAGTTGTCATCTTCAATCCCAGTACAGCAACGCTTTTTCGATCAGCTTTCTGAGCCAGTCATCTCTCTCCCAGTTCGACCATCCTTTATTTCATTCACAGCAGTTTTGTTAAGAGAACTTAGTAAAGCGCAGCCTCTATGCGACAAACATCTCCTCAGGGTATCAACGTATCAACTGAGTATTTCCTTTCGTGTTGCTACAACACTACAAAGCATATTATTTTTTTCCAAGTGAGGCAGTATAAAGTAGGAGTTAGAACCACACATTTTATTTTTTTTTAAGTTTATTTTTATTTTGAGAGGGAGACAGCAAGCAGGGGAGGGGCAGAGAGGGAAACAGAATCCTAAGCAGGCTCTGTGCTGCAAGCAAGCACAGAGCCTGATGTGGGGCTTGAACTCAGGAGCCAGGAGATCATGATCTGAGTCGAAGTCAAGAGTCAGACACTTAACCAACTGAGAGCCACCCAGGCGCCCTAGAACCACGCATTTTAAAAACCACATGTCCAAGTTCAATTTCCAGTTCCACCACCATGACCTGAGGCAACTGTCCGAACAGATTTCCTCAGCAATAGAATGTAGATGGTGGGGCCTCTTCATAGCTTTGGTGAATCAAATCAATGAAAAAAGAAAAAAAACACTTCTATTCAGAACAAGAGCCTAGCATACAGTAGCACTCAATAAATATTACCTATTATCCACAAATACATCCTCCCAAACTCAACTCCCAAATGTTGAGTTGACTCTTGGTGTTTTCTTTATCCCCAAACTTTGAGACTTTTTATGCCCACGAACAATTCTCATGATGCTTCTTTAAAATCTGTGGTGAAAACTGAGACAATTATTTTAAATTATTTAAAGAGTAATTTGTTGCCACTGGTTCACTGTCTTTCCTGCTGGATTCTAAATTCCAAACAAGTAGGAATTATGCGTAATTCACTTATACCCTAGTCTGGCTGGCAAATAAGCACTAATCTGGATGTATGTTTCCTTAAAAAAATCATTCCTTCTCTTTAAAAATCTAGATAATTAGTAACAACACCTCCACAATGACAAGAAAAGATCCTTTTGGCTTTTTAGCTTTTCATTTTAGATGTATCTTGAAATGGCCTCTGAAACTTCAGAAAATTAAGGCTGTGGTCCAATAATGAAAAGCTCCTGGGCTCTTAAGAAAAATGGAAAACATGCTAATTTGCATGGGGGTAAGGGTTAGAGAACAGAAGCTTTTATTTAACAGGGGCGCCTGGGTGGCTCAGTTGGTTGAGCACACTGCTCAGGTCATGATCTTGAGGTTTGTGGGTTCGGGCCCCACGTCAGGCTCTGTGCTGACAGCACAGAGCCTGGAGCCTGCTTCAGGTTCTATGTCTCTTTCTCTCTCTGCCCCTCCCCCGCTTGCATTCTGTCTCTCAAAAAATAAACATTAAAAAAATAAAAGCTTTTAACAGATTCCATCTTTGACAAATTATGGTAAATATTGGAGGAAAAAAATTCCTTTCTGGCCCTTTAGGTACTGTTGGCAGGTTCAATAAATACCCATGGAGGCCAAATCAGCATGGTTTTTACATAATGTGCTGGGTATATCAGTGGTACACGGGATGATTTTAGCTAGTGCATGAATGTCCATTTGTCTCGATATTCAAGGGTTGAATATTTAACATTTAAAAAACGTGTATGTAAGAAAAAATATAACTAGCACAGCACATCCTTGATTTCATGGTATTAACTGCCAAAAAAGGTAGAGCAGCGGCAGCTTCCTTGTAATTCACCAAAGCCCAAGCAGGGATGCTCACAAGTACCCAGAAGTACTTGCCAGAGTCCCACAGAATTCAACAGCAGCTGGCATACAACTGGCATGGAAACGTCATCTATTTAATAAAAAAAGTATCATGAAGGCTAAGGCAGATGTAGAATTTTCTTCCTAGTGCTCTGAATGTCAAAATCTGAATAAAGCTCAGTAAAAGGAGAGGAATAATTATGACAGGAGAGCCAAATCCCTATTGACAATTGAATGACATACTGGAACGACGGAGAGCGAGGTCACTGTCTCTTTATTACTGACTGATCATAAATAGTATCATTCTTCTCAGGAAAGAACATATTTCCAGGAAAATATTTTAATACATTGCTCACACTGACTGTTCCTAATATGTAATTCTTTATTTTTCAATTCTCATGGTTTAATTTTCATTGTAATTGTATTTATTATCTGCTAGTTGTGGTATGTAAAATGATTTTCCACTTATAGTAGTATATAAAAAGTTTATAAAGTCAACTTAAAAATGTCAAATTAGTATAGTTAGTACAAAAAAATCTTAATGTTTAAAAAACACTGCAATAAAGTCAAAGCAACAGTTAATGGTTATAAATAGCAACTTGGCTTTTTAAAATAAAATTTTAAACGTACGTATTTTTTCTTTCTTCTGACTCCACAGTTAACCCACAACGAGACAAAGTCACACGTATGTATACAAATCTTTTAACTGTTCCATTAGATCGATGTGAATTATATTACTGCATTATGAGAAACAACATTTAAGAGCACATCTGATGTTTGTTTCACAGGTTACTACTCTATTGTGTATCCTGACTGGCCAGTATCTGTGCGCAACAGGAACTTATCTCTCTTTCTCATTGTTAGTCCACCAATCCTAATACTGGGTGTCATAATGACCATTTGGGTCAAGCACAGATACCCTCAGTTCTTTTGAACTAAATCCAGAAAAAAACCGCAACTCATTCATGTATGGCTTAAAAAAAAATAACGGTTGTATTTATTTCTTATTTTAAAATATTTCAGAAAAAAATGTTGCAATAAACCCTTCATCAAAAGAAAAAGTCTCAACTTCCTAACTCTAGAATAAACTCATTTTTACTTCCCACTTTTCTGTGAATAAGAATTGTTTTCAGGCTGCCACAGCTGTGACTTTCAGTAAGTAACTCAGCCCGTGTGTGTCTCAGCTTCTAAAACTACAAAATGAATGTGCTAGATTTAGGTGATTCTAAACGACTCCACTGGCCCTCATTAGTAAAAACATTTCTACATAACTTGCTGCATGCTGCTTCCATGCTAAACATCTGGTTTTCCCCACTCTCTTGCAATTTGAGGTCTTTGGTTTCCCATTTTCCCAGACTCAAAAGAGTAATTAAGGGATTTAAGAGGCTTTTGCTTTTTGCTTTTTGCTTATGGGCTGTTTAATCTTAAACATAATATAAAGTAAGATTATAAAAAGAAACCTAATGTTTACTCATTATCATTAGAGACAGCACTGCAAAATCTGTATTTATTTTCCTCAAAACCAAGTTGTGGGACATGATTATATGTAAAGACTAAACAGTGGCAGCAAATACTGGATTTGATGGATAATTACAATAGCCACATTCTAAAAAGATCGTTACATAAACAACCTAAAAAATTACACCTAATATGCTTAGGCAAACATGCCAAAACAGAAAAGGTGCATGGTACACAAGGACATACATACCACTCTGCAGCATTAAAATTAAAAACTCACACACAGAGAATACAATAATTTATATTTATAAAGAAACAGCTGTTTATATAAACACTGATTTGAAGAATGACACGAACTAGAAAAATGTGATCAGGGTAGTCTTCTCACACATAAGGCTACGAACATCCTAGTATCTCAAAATCCTTTACAAAAGGAGATAGCTTAATGAGTTCTAGTTCAGGGGGTTTATTTAGTGTTACTTTTTCTTCTTCTTTTTTTTTTCATCTGTTTCCATTTTAAGCTTAACTTCTTCAGCTGAAAGAGCTCCCAGTTTCTTATTCTTTGCTTTCTTAACCTTTTCCTTGATGGCGGCTACATCAATTTTATTTTCGGTAGAAGCTAGACAAATTAAAAACAACATATGTAATTCTTTATGCTTTACCAAATAAAACATAAAGAATATGTATTTGGTACAGTAACTTTAGAGTACTGTAATAAGTGAAAGGTCATGTTGTAAAATATAAAGCACCTGCCTAAAGGAATGTTAGACATTTAAGAGAAAAAAAAATCATAAATTACTTTCTAAGTACATTAATGAAGGTACACATGAAAATGGCATTATAGTTTGGCTATCTGAACAAATCACTGAATTCAACAATATTAAAACTTCATTTTTCCCCCTAAATTGTACTTGAGATTGGATTATTTTTACTTATATTCTTTCCCATATTTTGGAACTTTAGAGTACTCATTAATATGCCAATTTCCAATTCTGCACACTAAAATACTTTGAAATTACATTTCAAGAAGAATATTACCACGTAGACCTTCCAGCTTGAATAATTTTAATTAACTAATCATGAAGCTTTAGGTCAAATCTACTTCATCTAATACCACACATAAAAACTCAAAAATAAAGTTTTCCAAATATTAGTTCAATGAATGACTAGTAGTATTTCATTTAACAAGATTTTGGTAATAAAGACAATAATCTGAGCATATTTGGAGATCCTCCTAACAGAATCCAACCATCAATGCCAAAAGCCTGAACAACAAAGACAAAGGAGGAGACACAAATGCAACTTTTCCTCACTATGTAAAGGACAGTGTTCAGAGCATAAGAGAATCACCAGCTAAAATATCATCAAACTTCCCCAGCAACTTGAGGAGCAGAGACTTAAAGCCTCCACTACAGTGAAACAGCTACATTTTAAATCATCATAAACTGAGATTAAACTGGCTACTGAACAACGTCCTAAGCAGAAAACTCACAGGCTGAACAAACTGCAAATTCTAATGCTTATGACATTTTTAACTTTTATATAACCAGTGACGTACATAGAAGAATACAGTACTTTTAAAGCTATTAACACTGATGTAATACAGGAAACTAAAATAGTAACGTCATGTCTGGTCTTGACCAATAGGTCATGTACAACAATGCCAGTGACTCCCCTCCCCTCACTGTGCCACTGGCTACTTCGGAAAATTACTTAGGGAAGAGTACAGGTGTTACTAGTGGGAAAGAGAACACAGAAGAGGGCAGGATGGATCAAATGAGACTAGGAATGGAGAAGAGAAGACAGAACACTGTTTTCACGGAGTGTCCTTTTAACAGCCCCTAAGACCTTCCTACTACTTTGATGGTGTCCTTTAGCCCAAGGTGATCAGAAATCCATCGTTAATAATATAGGAATCAAACTTTAAGCCACAGATCACATAAGTAAAGAGAAGAAAAGCGTAACTTCTGATAAGCTCTTTCTGAGAGGCATGATAACAGAGCTTGGGGACCTCATTGCTTTCGTTACTTTGATCTCTACAGAGGATTCACTGCCCTGGTTTAGAGCTTTCACAATGAAGAGTCCTTCTCCAGCACAATCAGAGGTTAGGAGAGGACTGTCAATCTGGAGACTCTGAAATAGGCATCAGCTGCTAATAAATTATAAAACACTTCTGTGGTCTCCTGTCCCTAGGATTAATGATTAATGAAGCAGCAAGAGAACTGATGAAAGATGGTTATTTCTTTAGTTAACACTCAAAGAGATTCAGACAAATTCATGAGTTTACTTTTCAAAAACAGACTTTCATATCACATCAAGAATTGGAAAACGAGCACTTACCTTCCTTCGGTTTCACAACTGGTTTTTCTTTAGGTGGAATAAAAGCTTTGTTTCTTTCCTCTTGTCTCTTACTGAGAGCTTCTGCTTGTTTAGCCTGCGTTATTAATTAAAAAAAATACATTAGAGAACACAATTTATAGTTAAGTAGGAATTTAAGTTTCTGTGAATTGTACTATCAATGTTGTGAGCTAGACAGAGTCTTACCTTTATGGCTTCCATTTTCTGTCGCTTCTTTTGACTTGCCTTCAGAAAGTATTCACCACTAGCCAATTCTTTATCAATCTGTTGAAAGCAGTATTTATAATTACATGAGAAATAAGGTAGATGAGAAATCATTTCCTAAAAAAGGCACAGTGTCCTTGAGGTGAAGACAGTGAAGTCAAAAATCTGACTAATTCATAAAGGCAGTGACATGAAGAGGAAATATACTCTAAGCTAAAGGAAATACATGAAAAAGCACAGGGATAGGAAAGGAGGTGATGTGTTCATGGAATATACAGCAGGCTGTTTCAACACAGAAGGGGATGTGTCTACATGCTGAGAACAAAGAACTAGTAGAGAGGAAAGACTTTAAGATATAGCCAAGAGAGTGAATTATGAAGTAAGATCCCTTAGGAGACAGGTGAAGACAGAATTCAAAGAACAGGTAAAGAAAGGACTGGGTGCAGATGGGAAAAAAAAAAAAAAAAAATTACAGGTGAGAGAAAAGGAAGTTGAAGGAGTTCTCACCTGATGGTCTTAAATACTTCCATAAACTGAAATGCAGGGTCATCAGCAAGGAGTGGGAGGGGTGCTTCCTCCCCATCCTTAAGAGGATGCACAGACTACCAGACAACGGTGAGGACCTATCTGAGGCTGGAAACGTGAATTTATAGTGGATAGAGTCCAAAGAGAAGACTTTTTCCAGCTGTGTTCAGTAGCCACATTATGGGAAAGAAAACAAATTTTAGAACTGATTAAGTTTGAGAGTTTTGCTGGACAACTATGATAGAAGGAAACGGCAATATGAAGGAAACAGTGATGGCCAAGAGAGAAAAGGAAATTTGGGGGAAAAAAGGAGCCAGAAAACAGCTGCTAAAATGAGAGACATTCATAATTTAGAAAAAGGATAGATATCATCACTTAAAGACTTCAAAACTGAGCAGTCACATAGCATGTGGTCATAAGAATGGTGCTGACGCAGAGTGAGAGCATTAAGGGTTAAATCATTAAATGTGTGTATCCATGGGAAGTGCAGACTGGATTGGCTACAGGGACACAAGTGACACCAACCACTCATACCGTGAAGCCGCCACTCCACCCCACACACTCAGCTCAAAATAAGCCTATTTACACTTACCTTTAGTTTCTTATACCTATACGCACCCAAACACATACACACTCACATACAGAAAGTCCACCTAAATTACTCTCCATGAAGTTTCTGACAAAACAGATTAAAATGGTTTCCCCCGTCATGTGAAGAAATTCAACATTTAATACTGACCTGACTTTCTGGCTGTGGTGGCGGGAAGGGTGTATACTCTTTCTTGACAGTTTTCTTCTTTGGTTCCTTGCGTTTATTCACATTTTTGTGCTTGAACTGTGGCAAAAATCTTTCCCAACTTTGTGATCTTAATTCAGAATCTTTTGCCAACTCTCGTTTAATCATTAAGGTCTTTAGTCATGACAATATATGAACAAAGTAAGAATTTTTAATTTTATAAGCCATATATTTGTCAAACCAAGACATTATAAATACTGTTCCTATAAATAACAAAATTAAAAAGAGTAGTTCTTAATCTCCACAGTAGGAGAAAACCAATTCCATAAAAAAATAAGTAATCTAAAACTAAGCTTTGGAAAACCATTAGAAATTTAGATTAAGAAATGCAGAAACAGTTTTTAAAAAATTTTAAAAAAGCTTTATGGACAGCTGGGTGGCTCAGTCGGTTGAGTGTCCAACTTCAGCTCAGGTCATGATCTCACAGTTCGTGAGTTCGAGCCCTGCATCGGGCTCACTGCTATCAGCACAGAACCTGCTTCAGAT